TCCAAAATTCTCCCAAAAAAATCTTCCTTGGCTTAAAACCTTCTTCCTTATTTCTATTCATTTTTCTTAATTTTTACTCCTTTCATCCTGATCTTTTCTCTTAAACCAAGGTTGCTTCATTACCTTCATTCATATCGTTTATCTATCTTGTTTATTGGTGTTGCCATTGTTAATCTTCTTCATCTCTTCATCTTCTTTTTCTAGCTAAGTAAGTCTCTTTTCATTGGTTGCCTTTGTGCTTCAACGATTAATGATCCAACGTGTTAATGATATTGATTAATCAATTCTTTTAAAGAGGAGTTTATGAAATAAACTTAATTTTTGGAGGTATTTAATATGCTATTTTTCTTCATCAATTTTAAAGGTTTTTATTTTTATTAAGTTTTTTATGATGATTTTATTACAATATTAAGTCATTTTTTCAATCATATTTAATTTCGATATAGATTTTTAAAATAAGTTTGATTTTGATGTTTTTCGAGAATTCGGGGATTTGTGTTGATTGTTTCAATTTTTGAGGTTTCTAGTTTAGTTTAGTTATTCATAAAGTTGTTATTGATTAGATCTTATCGAGGATATGTAGTGTCGATTGGATTGGAAGCTTAGGGAGTTGTTTCAGTATGAGTTTTGTTAATTTCAGTTTTTCACTTTATTTTCGAAATAGAAAATTTTGCTCTATTTTGGTTAAGTTCTTTATGTTTTGTTTTTTATACAATGTGTTTAATGTTTTTATAATTGATGAAAATTAGTGCATCGTGTTTTGGCGAATGTTTGCTAAGTGATAGGAAGAAATTTTGGTTAGTGGGCAACAAAGGTGAGTGACTTTCATTGTTAGAGGATTATCATATTCAAGGTTAAAAGAAGATGTAGTTTAGAGTGTTTCTCTTAGCTTGAATTATAGTATAAGTGAACTTATATGGTTGCACATAATTGATATGAAATTGAGATGAACTATGAATATAGCAGGTATATTGTATATGTGTTGCGATTGAGTTTTGAAAGTTTATATATGAATATGTACATGAATGAGTGAGCAAATTGATGCTCATATAAGCTTGGTCATGACAACCATTTACGATAAGTGTTTCAAGGTGTATTTTGAAAGTGTATGTGTGTATAAGATATGCATCATTTGATAACCACTTTTGATGAACTTGGATTAATTTGTTATTTCTTCTTAATGGGACATTTGGGCATGAAATGCATGCCTAGGAAAGAGTATTATATGGTTTTCTTTATGTGTGTGAACAAAGGGATATACGGGGTAAGGTTGGTGCATTGAGCAATGCTCTGAGAAGATTACGGGGTAAGCTTAGTTCATTGAGTTTACTCCGAAAGTTGTGGTTTTAGATCTAAGAGAGTATAAAAGGGAGTTGTATGGTGTTCGTTTATCCAATCAATGAGTTGTGTTTTGAACAAAAGGTTATTGACCTTAAATAGAAACAATGTGTGCATTGTGTGTTAATTTGCTAAAAAGGTAACTGTGAATGTGTGTATGTGTTTTGCTGCAAGATAGATAGTGATGAAATGCATGTTTATAATCTAGATTTTGTGTTCACTTGTAGTGCAGTATATGAATATAGAAGTATGATATGACGATTTGAATACTGAGGAAAAATAAGTGAGAAGTGAACGCATGTAGGTCTTTCCTTTAGCTTTGAAGTGTGCATTACTTGGAATGTTAGTATTAACTAGTTTTCATCTCACACTCGTTGTTTAATACTTTTCAGAGGATTAGTGGTTGATTCGGAGGCAAGGGGCAAGCATTCAGTATGATCAAGCAAAACAATATTAAATAAAGTTTATGTGGTTTGGTTTCAAAAAATGATAACGTGAGGATCATTTGAGGACGTAGATGATTTTTTTATTTTTTAAACTTGTAATTGGCATAATAATTAGACAATTGGTTTTATTATTAAGCATATTGATTGAGGATGTTGAATTCATATAAATGTGTGAATTGAATGTTAAATAGGCCAAATGTTGATTTATACTTTAAAGAAGTATTTTGTGTGCTTAGACAAGTGACACTAAGTGTATTAAATATGTTAGCCTATTAGAATGCATGAAATGAATCAAAATGCAAAATTAGACTAGGTGACTTGTGTTAAAAGTGAACTTTTATGCAAAACTTGACTTTTGATGGTAGATCCTTGAATGATATGTTGACTTGTATTATAAAGCATGTTACATGTTTATTCTAACATGTATGATATGGTATGAGAGTGTACAAGCATGTAACCAGTCTCTATTATTGATTATATGAAAGTTTGGTGGTTTATTTATGCATGTTCTTGAGAATTCTGCACTTTTCCAGAAAGAGGGCCAATCCCTTGGTGGAAATGATCAATCCCAAACCTACTAAATTGCAAAGGATCGATCCCTCATGAAAATGATTGATCCCTTCAATGTTTGCTCGATGAAGAATGGTAAACATGCATTCATTAAAGTTCTTAAGTATGCCTAAGATTTAGTTTAACCCTAGGATGTTTGTATAAGTTTAAAATAGTCCGGAAATTGAATTGCTAATTAATATTATAACTTAACTTGAAATTGGGTGAGACTTGTTCTGCCACACTTTAATATTTTGAATTACATAATGAATAAGTATATTGGATGTTTGATGTTTCTATTTGACTTTTAGACTTTTTATGTTTTAGTTTTAAGAAAAGTATGTTTCAATAGGTCTTTGTTTGGTGTCTGATTAATTTGGAAATTTGCATGTCACTAATTAATAATTAGTAATGAATATTGGTAATCTTATTTTATTATTTCGGGTTCAAATCTCTTAATGGTACGAAATGATCGATTTACCCTGTTTAGTAAAAGTGTTTATCTTGTAATTCATCGATTGTTGTATGTCATTAAATTTATCTGTTATATACTTCCATGTGTTACATGATGTATTTTTATTTTAAATGTTTTCATATAGTACGTATATTTAATGTTTTTATTTTGTCTGATAAGTTCGGACTCTAATGTACGCTTTGGTATTTGGGTTATTCTTTGTAAAAGAGTATGTGGTGTTACATTTGGTGGTATTAGAGCCAAGTTTAAGATGATGTATGTTTGTATGTCAGGGTAGAAAATGTGAATCACATTGCCACGTTTTATCTAAAAATTTTTGTAGGTCTTACCTTGATCATTGATGCATTTCTTACCTTATTTTGTTTAAATGTATAGTGTTTAGCCTAGTTTATTATAACATCGTGTCGTGCTATTTTGAGTGTTCATGAGGGGAACTGTCTTGCCACCAGAGCTAATGCACAGAGGTTGGAGGTTGTGCCAACGTCCCCTTCTTATGGCTCCATACCCGAATCCTCATGTCGACGTGTTAGTTGAGGTGATCATTAATGATTTTTGCCAGGTTGTTTCTAATATTTAACTTGTTCTTATATTAGTGGCAGCAAGTAGAGGTTTATCGTTAGAGCGTTTGAGGGCATTGGGTGCCAAAGAGTTCTTGGGGCTAAGCCGAAAGTCGTTGAAGAGAAGTTTATGTATGTTACATCTTTGATATAGAGTGATGCACATCATTGGTGGACGACGTTTAAGAGTATTGTCACCGAGGATAGGTTGACATGGTAGTATTTTTTGGAAGTTTTAGACGAAAGTTTTTGGGAGCGCATTATACGAATGCCAGAAAAAAAGAGTTTCTCAATTTGGTTCAAGGACAGATTTCAGTTTCAGAGTACGAGGTAAAGTTTTTTTGCTTGAGTGAGTATTATAGGGAGATAGTCTAACTGAGTCGGAGAGGAGTAAGTAGTTCTAGGATGGTTTAAAAATGGAGATTCATGTGTATTTGGTTATCGGTTATTTGGATGTGTTCGATACTTTGGTGGATTAGGATAGAGATATTGAGACCATCTTGGTGGGTGACTTAGTTTGGGAGTTTCCAGGAAAACAGTCAGGAGATGTCAGTTCTTAGGATCATGTCCCAACGGATGTGATCAAAAGTACCTTTCTGTTAAAATCTTTTCCTTTGTTCCCTTTGATAGATTGTAGTTATACGTATTCTTATATCCTTAGTCGTTTGATGAGTAGGTCAAATGTTCATGTTAGTTTTAAGAATATGGGTTTGGTAGTGACCGGGTTGTTAGAAGATAGTGCACTTATGGATCAAGTGTATCGGAGGTATCCTTTGGTTATTTAGGACGAGGTGTTTCTAGTGGATTTGATGGAGTTGTCGTTCCATGGTTTTGATGGGTGCGGATTGGCTTTGTGAGCATTGAGTGTATTTGGATTTTGAGTTGTTTCACGTGATATTGAAGAGTTGAATTTGTTGTTGTTGGTAAATGGCCAGATTTGCTTACAAATGTTGTCGGCATTGGATGCAAGTAAGATATTTGGTCATGGATGCGAGGCGTTCTTGGCCTATGTTTTGAACCTGAGTGGAAAAGAGTTGTGTGTGCATGTATTCGAACAGTTAAGGATTCTCCTAATGTTTTCCCTAAAGAGCTTTCAAGTTTGCGACCGGGTCGTGAGGTAGAGTTTTGCATTGAGACTTATATCAATTTAGCTCTTGTGTCTATTTCTCCATATCCCATTGCACCTAAGGAGTTAAAGGAGTTAACGGTGCAGTTGCAAGAGTTGTTGGATCATGGTTTTATTCGTCCAAGCATTTCTACGTGGGATGTTACAGTTTTGTTCAAAAAGAAGAAAGATGATACGATACATATGTGTGTCGATTATTGTCATTTAAACAAGCTGACAATTAAGAATCGATATCCTTTACCAATGATTGACAACTTGTTTGACCAGTTTCGAGGTGTTAAGGTGTTTTGTAAGATTGATTTACATTTTGGGTATTATTCGTTGAAGGTTAATGAGTCGGATATGATGAAAACCGCTTATAGGACGTGTTATGGTCATTATGAGTTTTTTGTGATGTCGTTTGGGTTGATGAATGTACCTGCTATTTTCATGGATCTGATGAATCATGTGTTTCATTCGTATCTTTATCGATTTGTGATGGTGCTCATCGATGATATCTTGGTGTATTAATGATTGGAGGAAAACATGACTTGCATCTTAGGATTATTTTGCATGTGCTAAGGAAGAAGAAATTGTATGCGAAGTTTTTGAAGTGTGAGTTTTGGTTGAGTGAGATAGAGTTCCTTGTTCATGTTGTTTTAACTGATCTGAATAAGATGAAGGTAATAGTTGAGTGGAAGTTGCCTAAGAATGTTACCAAATTTCATAGTTTTCTTGGGTTAACTGGATATTATCTTCATTTTGTGGAAGGTTTTTTTCTTATTGTCGCTCTTTTAACGAGGTTGTTACAAAAGAATGATAGGTTTGAATGGACAGAAGATAGAAAGAGTAGTTTTGAGAAGTTGAAGTCAGTGTTAACGGAAGCTCTTGTTTTGGTTCAGCCGAAATCGGGGAAAGATTTTCTGGTGTTTAGTGATGCATCTATTATCAATCTTGGTGTGTTTTGTTGCAAGACAATAGTTTGTTGGTCATCTGTAAAAGGATAGTCAGTTGGAGCGCGTGATTCAAAGTTTTGGAGGATATGCTTTGGGATTGTGTTATAGATTTTAGTGGTTATTGGGAGCATTATTTTTTGTTTTTAGAGTTTGCTTACAATAATAGTTATCAGACGAATATTCAGATGGCACCAATTGAGGCATTGTATGAGTGTAAGTGTCGTACTCCATTTTATTGGTCTGAGTTGAGTCAGAGGCGTATTGTTGGTCTGAATCTACTTCAAGATACAAAATATAAGGTTAAGTTCATTTCAAAACATCTAAAGGTTGCTTTTGATCAGCAGAAGTCTTATGTTAATTTAAAGAATCGTAAGATTGAGTATGTCATGGGTGATTTATGTTCTTGAAGGTTTCTCCTTGAAAGAAGATGTTGTATTTTGGACATAAGGGTAAGCTTAGTTTGACGTTTATATGACCATATGAGGTATTAGAATGTGTTGGTCTTTATGCATATCGTCTTAGTTTGCTGCCTGATCTTGAGCGTATTCATGATATGTTCCATGTGTTGATATTGCATAAGTATCAGTCATATCCTTTATATGTTGTTATGATAGATGATTTTGTGGTTCATGCTGATCATTCATACGAGGAAGATTCGATTAAGATTTTAGCTAGTGAAGTGAAGGTGCTTCAGAATAAGTCGGTTCCGTTAGTGAAAGTGTTGGGACGTAACCACAATACTAAAGAACAGACACGGGAGATGGAGGAGTCGATGAGAGCTAATTATTTTCATTTTTTTATTAAGGTAATTTTGAGGATGGAAATCTTTTTAGGGGAGAGAGTTGTAACGTCCAAAGTCTGATCAGTAGTTTGGGTCGGTAATTGAGTGATTTTTGGGATTTTTAATAAAAATGATATTTTTGGTTTCTAAAATTACAAATATTAATATTAAGTGTTTAAATTATTTTTGGATATTAAATATGAATTATAATAATAATAAATTTTTATTAAGTGACTAAATTGAATAAATTGAGAATGTAGATTTAGTGATTAAATTATAAAAGGATCAAAAATCAACATCTAACAAGCTAGTTTTAAATAAGGCTTGTGTTTTAGGATTTTCCCTCCAATTTTAACCATGAGTTTTATTTCCCTTTTGCCATTTTCCTAGATAGATTCATTCTCCTAAATTTCTTCTCATTTTCATTCCTAACTTCAATAACCGTTCTTTTCATTCTCTCATCCAAACACTATCGTAATTCTCTCCAAAATTCTCTCAAAAGCTCTTCCATGGCTTAAAATCTTCTTTCTCATTTATATTCATTGGTTTTTGAGTTTAACAACTTTCATCTTGATCTTTTCTCTTCAATCAAGGTTGCTTCATTTCCTTCATTCTTGTTGTTTATCTATTTTGTTTCTTGGTGTTGCCATTGTTGATCTTCTTCATCTCTTCATATTCTTTTTCCAGCAAGTTAATTCCATTTTCCTTGGTTCGATTTGTGCTTCAACGATTATTGATCCAATGTGTTGATGTTCTTGGTTAATCAATTTTTTAAAGAGGAGTTGATGAAATAAACTTGATTTACAGAGGTATTTAATGTGCTATTTTTCTTGATCAAATTTAAAGTTTTTCTTGTGTTGATTAAGGTTTTTATGGTGATGTTATTACCATATTAAATTAATTTTTTGATTTCGATATGGAATTCTTTAAAACAAGCTTGATTTTGACGTTTTTCATGAATCCGAAGATTTGTGTTAACTGCTTCCATTTTTTTAGGTTTCTAGTTGAGTTTAGTTGTCGATAGTAGTTGTTCTTGATCAGATCTTATTGGGGAGAGGTAGTTTTAATTGTATTGGAAGCTTTGAGAGTCGTTTCGGTAAGATTTTCGGTAATTTCGATTCTTTCGCTCTATTTTTGAAACAGAATATTCTGCTCTATTTTGATTAAGTTCTTGATGTGTTGTTTTGCTTTCCAAGGTGTTTAATGTTTTTATAATTGATGGAAATTGATGCATTGTGTTTTGGTGAACGTTTTCTAAGTGTTTGGTAGTGATTTCAGTTAGTGGACATCAAAGGTGAGTGACTTTCATTCTTAGAGGATGATCATATTCAAGGTTAAAAGAAAGTGTAGTTTAGAGTGTGTCTCTTAGCTTGAACTATAGTATAAGTGAATTTATATGGTATATATATGAATGTGATATGAAATGTGAATATAGCATGCGGATTGTATATGTGTTGCAATTGATGCAGAGTGGTTTTGAAAGCATATTTTGAAAGTGTATATATATGAATCTGTACATGGGTGAGTGAGCAACTTGATGTTCATATAATTTGATCATGACAACCATTTCCGATAAGTATTTGAAAGTGTATTTTGAAAGTTTATATGTGTATAAGCTATTCATCATTTGATAACCACTCTTAATGAAATTGGATTAATCGACTATTTTTTCTTAATGGGACCTTTGGATATGAAAGGCATGCCTATGAAAGAGTACTCTATCGTTTTCTATATGTGTGTGAAAAAGGGATATATGGGGCAAGGTTGGTACATTGAGCAATGCTCCGAGAAGATTATGGGGTAAGATTGGTTCGTTGAGTTTAATGCAAAAATCATCTTTTTTGGACCGAAGTGAGTCCATAAATAAAATGGAGTTGTATGGAGTCCGTTTATCCAATGAGTGATTTGTGTTTTGAACAAAAAGCCATTGGTCTTAAATGGAAACAATGTGTGCATTGTGTGTGACCTTTCCAAAAAGGTAATTGTGCATGAGTGTATATGTTTGCTGCAAGATTTATGATGATGAAAGACATGTGTATAATTTGGATTTTTTGTGCATTTGTGGTGTATTATGTGAATATAGAAGTATGACATGATGACATGAATATTGAGGAAAAAAGAAGTGAGAAATGAATGCATGTAGGTCTTTCCTTTAGTTTTAAATTTTGCAATACTTGGAATATTAGTTATTCCCTGGGCTTTCATCTCACACTCATTGTTTTAAACATTTTTAGAGGATTAGTAGTTGAGTGGGAGGCAAGGGGAAGCATCTAGTGTGTTCAAGCAAGACAATATTAAATAAAGTTTATTTGGTTTTGTTTCAAAAAATGATAATGTGGGGATCATTGGGGCGCAAATGATTTTTTGACTTGTTAGACTTGTAATAAATGTGGCATGATAATTGGACAATTGTTTTTATGATGAAGGATGTTGATTAAATTGGTTTGTTGATTGAGAATGTTGAATTCATATAAATGTGTGAATTGAATGTCAAGTTGGCCAAATGTTGATTCATACTTTAAAAAAGTGTTTTGTGTGCTTAGACAAGTGGCACTAAGTGCACTAAATTGTTAGACTATTAGGATGCATGAAATGACTCAAAATCCATAATTGGACTAGGTGACTTGTGCTAAAAGTGAACTTTTATGCAATATTTGACTTTTGATGCTAGATCCTTGTATGGTGTATTGACTTGTGTTATAAAGAATGCTACATGTGTATTCTAACCTGTACGATATGGTATGAGCGTGTCCAAGCATGTAGCTAGTCCTTATGATTGATTTTAGGAAAGTTTGGTGGTTCATTTATGTATGTTCTTGAGAATTTTACACTTTTTCAAAAAAGTAACAGATCCCTTGGGGGAAAGGATCGGTCCCTTCCCAAAAAAGATTGATCTCTTTCTCAAAGTATCAATCCCAAACCTATTGGATTGTGAATGATTGATCCGTCGTGAAAAAGGATCGATCCCTTCATTGTTTGCTTGATGAAAATGGTAAAATTGCATTCATTAGAGGTCCTAAGTATGCCTAAGACTTAGTTTGACCTAGGATGCTTGTAAAAGTTTAAAATGGTCTAGAAATTGAATTGCTAATTAATACTAGACCCTAACTCGAAATTAGGTGAGACTTGTTCTACCACACTTCAATATATTGAATTACATAATGAAGAAGTCAATTGCATGTTTTTTGCTTTTATGTGACTTTTGGATTGTTTATGTTTTAGTCCTTAGAAAAGTATGTTTAATTAGGTCCTGTTTGGTGTTTGATTAATTTAGAAATTTGCATGTCACTAATTAATAAATTAATAATGAATATTGGTAATATTATTTTACTATTGCGGGCTCGAATTGCTTGATGGTATGATATGATTGATTTACCATGTTTAGTTAAAAGCGTTTATCTTGCAATTCATCAATTTTTGTACGTCGTTAAATTTGTCTGTTATCCACTACCATGTGTTGCTTGATGTATGCTATATTTTAAATGCTTCGGCATAGTATGCATGTTTATGGTTTTAGTTTTGTCCGACAAGTTTGGAATCTAATATACGCTCAGGTATCCGAGTTATTCCTCTTGATAGAGTATGGAGTGTTACAAATTCCACCCCAACATCTACAATATTTCCCTTGCCCAGCTCCACATTATAGAGCTCGAAGGTTTAGCATCGAGATCAACACGAATTTTTGTAAACTCAAGTTATTGTTTTATAACAATCATTTTATGTGTATAAAGGCTTCCTAATAGCACTTGCAAGATAACCTAAGTCAGGCTTTGAGGAAAGCTCCAAAGGAACATGTCATAACCAAAATCAAACCGCAGCGGTATCCAAATTAAGCACCTCAGGCACTAAATCAAGTATCCATTTCCTAAGCACAATCACCTTTTATTGAATATGCCAAGGACCCGACTCTAACACCCAATCTCGAACTCCGGAAGATGAAAAAATTATGATGTAAAAATTTGGAGCCAAAATTCTAATTTTAACAGCTATCTCCCTACCCTATAATCGATCATCAGTTTTTTGAAAAATATCAAGTGTTGGTGATTTACCCAGAAAATTAGCAATTAAAGCATTACACCATTTCTTTGCACCATCAATCAACACATCTGGAGGAGGCTTAACTAAGATTTTACCATCCTTTTTATATGAGGGAAAAAAATCAACGACTATCAAGAAACAAAGACTTCCAACCAGAAACCTTACTTGGTCCAGCACCGTTAATTTGTACCCCATACCGAGAGCTCACCTCATTCTCCATTGCATCAACAACTCCAACAGCTTCCACAATAACTTGTAAAGATGGGAACGCAGACACATGAAAAGCATGAGATTTTGATAGTTCACCCACATCCAAATCCACCATGAAAAGAAACTAAAAAAAAAGAAAACCACTTAACAAAACTCAACAACTAAAACCAAGCAAAAAAAGAAAAAGCTAAACCCAAGGAAAACCACGAAGAACAGAGCAAACCTACAAAAGAAAAAGTAAAGCTCTACAGGCACAAGATAAACAAGTAAATGTGCGCAAAAGAAAAAAAACAACTCCATTCAAGGAGATCAAGTCATGTTGACTCAATAATTATCCACTTAAACTCATCATTTAGGTGAAATATACCTCTATGGATA